CCGGTGTATCCTCTCTTCCCGGCAATCCTTCTTGAAACAACATCCCAGGGCTGAAGAAGCCAAAGCACACTGATGACACCATCTGCACAGCGACACACTGATCAGAAGGACACTCCTGCCAGAGCCCTACCCCTTGACTGGAAGGATCGAGACCACCACCTAAACCCCTGCCCCATTCACACTCATGCTGAGCCCTAGAGTCACTTTTGTGACAGTTCCTTATTGGTCTAATTGCACCTGTTGTGACCAAGAGGTACCTAAAATATGGCTCAAAAAGGAATTATTCATCTCAATACCCATTTCTGCATGCTGCCTGATGCCCTGAGTAGATATGTTTACTATAGTGATCACCTATAGCAGGGGTGTGCAAAACACGGGCCAGGCCAGATGCAGACCGCAGGGCCAAAAAAAATTTAGAAAATTAATATTTATCTGCCCCTGGCTGCCTATCATGTGGCCTCAATGGCTTGCCAAAACTCAGTAAGCAGCCTTCTGCCCAAAATAATTGCCCACCCCTGATCTAGTGTCTGAATTGAGAAAAATGGGGACTAAACTAAGACCTAGCTGATCCAACCAGGATGCTCTCAACTCTCGCTCCGCTTCTTCCTAACCTGCTTCTGTTCAAGTTGCATTTCTCCTACATTATGCCTCCAGTTTCCCTACTCCCTCTTCCTTTCCTTGTCTTGCAAAGTATCCCATTTGGCTGCTGTGTGCTGGAGAACAGTTTGTCTAGGTGGCTAGGTGACTAGGTGGATGAGAGGGGGAGACGCGACAAGGGTAACGGCACCAAATGAGACTGCCGGGAAGCGAAGGGGTACCATGTGAATCGGGGGCAGGGGTCCGCTCTGCGTGGGCAGCCCAATCTCCCCGCATTAGTAATAGTGCTGAAATGCTAACATACTGCTATCTTAACTTCTGGCCACCAGAACTCCTAGATACACCAATGCCACAGCTGGGGAAACAAGAGTCCTTCCCACTCTCCCTCAGCCTCCATCTCCTTTGTCAGACTGTACACCTACCCCGTCACCCGAGTGCCCTCGCACCTCTGCCTCCCGCATCAGCCACCCCATACCGCCTTCAGCAGCTCTGCCCTGCCCGCGGGCAGCTGCAGCCAGGGTGTGACCAGGGGCGGGTGGCCACAGGGAGCCCCCGGGCCAGGCAGTGCCCCCGACACCGCATTGTCCCCGGCCCTGCCACCCCCAGCAAGTGCACGGCTGCGCCCCCGCCCCGCCCGGCCTCCGTTACCTGGCCAGGGCAGCGCAGCAGCCCCAGGACCGGACGCGGGGCGAGACGCGTGGGACAGCGGCCTCGCGCCTACCTTGGGCGGGCGGAAGAACGACCGCGGGGCCTACCGCCGCCCGCTCCGCCGCCCCGCGCCGTTACACCGACCCCCTATTAATTAATATCTTTTAAAAAGCCGGCTTTTCGGTTACATATGTGTTTTTTTATTTTTTTTTCACATTCCCTCCCTCCCTTCCCCACAAACGGCAGTTTGGCCCCCGCCCATTACCAAACGCCCGCCCACGGCCGAGCCCAGCCAGGCCCGGGACACTCCCCGCAACCCTAGCAGCGGCCTCAGCCGCCTGCCCCGGGTTTTCTAGGAGCAGGATGCGGCCACGAGGACACGCGGTGGCCGCTAGCGCGTCCAGTCCCGTTCCGCTCCGCACAGTAACGGAAAACAAGATG